GCCTATCACTACCAAGCAGCAATTGATAGAAACCCTTACAAGAGAGTGCAATAGCAACCCCAGTCTCCAAGACAATCCAGAAGTCTACATAGATAGCATGCCCAGACGCCTGAAAGCTGTTATTGTAGCTAAGGGTGGCCTTACAAAATATTAAGATTATTACCTTATTTGTTATGTTAAAACAAATTATTTTATTTTTATAAAAAAAAAAAAAATAGTAATGAATAAGTAATTATGTTGTTTTATATTTTAAATTAAACTCTGTACCAAAAAAAACAATAAAAAAATAACTACAAGATACATATTTATTCATTAAAGTAGTTTATACTTTAAAATTACTTAAAAAGTAAAGTGTCCCTAATAATTTGGCAACCCACTGTATATATATATATATATATATATATATATATATATATATATATATATATATATATATATATATATATATATATATATATATATATACATGTGTATATATATATATATATATATATATATATATATATATATATATATATATATATATATATATATATATATAAATTAATCTCAATAAAAATACATATATATATATATATACACATACATATATGTATATATATACTATATATATAAATTAATCTCAATAAAAATACATATATATATATATATATATATATATATTATATACATCTATATATATATATATATATATATATATATATATATATATATGTATTTTTATATATATATATATATATATATACATCTATATATATATATATATATATATATATATATATACATATATATATATATATACATCTATATATATATATATATATGTATATATATATAATATATATATATATATATATATATATATATATATATATATATATATATATATTATATATAAATAAATTAATCTCAATAAAAAAGGCAGCATTTAACTATTTTTTAAATATATTTTGATATAATAATATATTAACAATATTTTGCTGACCTATTATGGTCAGCGTCATCAGGTAATGAAAAAAACGTTACAAGATAACAAAAAACCAACCATTTAAAAAAGAAGACATTAAAAAGCGTAAAATATAAAAACCAATCAAATAATAAAAAAGTGACGTCAGTCAAACTTTTCTCAAAAATGGTCCCCAAGTTTTTGTTTTCACATTATTCTTGTCATCTCTATTTAGAACAGTTTGCTCAATACAATAAGTTCGGAGATAGTTTTGTTTTGTTATTGCATAGTATGTTATTTAATTGGGGGCTGAAGTTAATACAACTCTGATGTTTTTTTTTCTAAATTCTCTTTGGAATTTAGGCAAAACTCAGATTTTATCTTTGTACAAAAAGTAACATTTGCCCAATGAAAATTTATATCTCCAATCACAAATTAGATCTAATGATTGTGAGTTAATTAATAATATAACGAACAAGTCTAAAAATAACCATTATTTTAAAAAAAACAAACTGAAATGAAGGAAAAATACAATAAACTGCAAAATAATATTTTGAATAAAATCTTCCTAATCAAATTTTAAAACCAGCTATACTAAATTTAACAAATATTAATCTGGATAAGACAACCTGGATATAATCTGGATATCATCACTAATATTGAAACTCTAATATTAACCCAAGCATAATCACTGGCATCTTTAAAGGATTTCTATGTAGAGCAAAACAAATCTGCTCTAAAAAACATCTCTCACAGGAAATTGATTTCCTCATAAATACATTCTTTCAAAACGGTTATAACAAAAGTATCTTAGTAAAAAAAACAAAAAATATTACATCTAAACAATTGTATAAGCAATTTGTTAAACTACCTTGGATACCTATTATTGCCCCTAAATTTTAAAGAGAATTTAGAAAAAAAACCATCAGAGTTATATTAACTTCAGCCCCCAATTAAATAACATACTATGCAATAACAAATCTACCTCTGAACTCAAATCCAGGTATCTGCATAGCGGGTCACAGGGACTTAATACGTTTATGTAAATATAGGAAAAGCTTTTTTAATAAGTAATGAATAAAAAACATCTCACACTTTCGCCTGTTTGTGAGCTAACAGTAGCAAATTTACTATCCGCTTTCAACCCAACAACAACTTTTGTTAAATTAGGTGCTTCTGAAAGTACCTAAAATCATAAAAAAATATTATTGATGAGTAATTTATTATTGAAAGAGTATAAACTATTCTAATAATATTAGAGATATATTCAAGAAAGCCAGAGTAAATGAAGCACATAATATATATATGACTTATTTAATTAGTTTAAAAACAGCATAGCTTCAATGAACCAAGATAAGTTTTCAATAAAAAGAAACAAGAAAAAAAAAGTGTTTAAAGAAAGATTAATGTAAGTCTGTAAATCCAAAAAAAATAAATATATTTTTTAATTATTTTTTTGTCCAGCGTGACATGCTACTTATTTAAGCTTAACATTTAAAGAAAAAATTAAAATAAAATGTAATTTATCTACTGAAATACAATAAAACATTTTAAAAACATTTTAAGGTAAGTACACCACCGTTCATAATTATTTGAATGGCATTAACTATTTTTAAAAATGCTATTTTTCATTTAATTATTTTTTGTTTATTTTTGTACTATTAGATAATTTAAAAGTGTTTTGGTTAAAATGTTTATATAATAAAAATGCTAAAGTAGGAAAAAATACATAAAAAATGGACCATTAATCAATGTAAACGCAGATCAATGTGTTGCAGTTTTAAATCTTTGGTTTGTAAGTTGTTAAGTAAAATTCCAAGAATACTTATGGCGGTTATTGTCGCTAAGAATGATAAAAGGCAAGTAAATTATAAATTAATCTAATCAGACTTTTGTTAACTTTTTTGTAAACCTAATAAAAAGGAAGATAACATTTAATTCAGGTAGACTTGGCTTACAGTTTCTCTCCCAATAGTAAGTAAAACTATTATATCTTATTTCAAAAAGTACAACCATAAAAATAATTATAGATGAATTCAAATATTATTTTACTGCAAAGATAAACTAAAGGAGAACTTAAGGAGAAAATAAGATAACTAATAGAGAACAAAGTGACCAAAAGCCAACAAAAACATAGTACCAAGAAAACTACAAAATAAGTAAAAACTATATAAATGCAAAAGAAATACAAAGAAAAACTACAAAATAACTGTAATATTTAGAAATTGTTTAGAAATGCTGCATGCAAACATTTTGTTTATTTTCTAATTTTAAAAACAAAATCTTACAAAAATTTAAAGACATTTATTTACAGTAATAAAAACAAAAACTTGGTGATTTCAGTAAGTATAAAAAAGTTTTAAAGAAATTTGTTAGATTAAACCTATTTTAAGCAATTAGTTTCTAACATGAGACAAATGCCTTATTATAATATAATTTCTAAGTTTTATATGCATCAATTATACATCTATAATATTCAAAGAAAAATATGTTTTGTCTTTTATAAATAACTAATTGGTTTAATATTGGATAAACAGAAATTTTGCCATTAAATAACATAAAAGCTTGCAAAATTTAAAATAAATATCTGAATTCTATAACAGTTATATTATTATGATTAAAAAACAGGACTTAGCACCAAACACCTAAAAAATAACAGAATTTAACATTATACACATTTATGTAAATGTTACATTTAATCTAAAAGCAAACATTAAAAAAAATATTTTCACCTCATTATAAAAACTCATGCCCAGCTTCTAAACTTCATTTTAAACTGTTTTTTATTTTTTACTATGCAAAATATTAGGCATAAAAACTACGTATAAAAACCATACATCAGCATAATTATAAATTATAATTATTCACCATATTACTGTAAATATTTAAAAATATGCTTAAAATAATGTAACAAAAAAAATATGTTTGTAGTGTGAATTTAATAAAATATAAACAAGTATTAAAATCGATTTAAATTTTAATTTTTGTGATTACCAAAAGTGCTCATTTTATTATTGGAATAAAATCAAGTGAATTATCCACTTGTCCCAGCTTAAATGCTGTCCCGTGTTAGACAACCTTCCCCTACAAAAAAATTATAAAATAACTAAAAGAAATAATTACTACAAGATAAAAAAAATAATTACTGCAATATAACTATAAGAACATTAAAAATACTACAAAGTCTACTAAAAGACAACTTAAAAATATTACAAAGTCTACTAAAAGACAACTTAAAAATATTACAAAGTCTACTACAAGACAACTTAAAAATACTACAAAGTCTACTACAAGACAACTTAAATATACTGCAAAGTCTACTACAAGACAAACAAAAAAAAAAACAAAAAAAAAAAGAACTATAAATGGGAGACAAAAAAAGAACAATAAATGGGAGACAAAAGACTTAAAAAAACTGTAAACTGTATGAGTTAGTCAAAACATGAACACAAGAGACAACTATTGATATTAGAGAAAAAAAATAAGATTATCCCTTTTGAGCATAAAAAAACATTTGAAGTAAATCCAAGGAAACATGGCTAAACAACAACTATTATTATACTACCTTTTTTTTTCGAAAAAAAAAAAATGAGAAAATGGATTTCGGTCAGTCTTTTATAATGCTTATTTTAAAGAGTTTTATGTCTGATCAAAATAGGTTTTCTTAAAACATTTACTTTGTGACTAATATACTTTAAGCAGTCTTTCAATTCAATTAGATTTATAAGATGATTTTGAAAGGGAGGGAAGGGGAGTTATTAATTAGTAATATAAATTTATTATAAATTATTATTTAATTTATTATAAATTTATATTAATTTTTAATTAATATTAATTAGTAATATAAATTTATATGATAAATAATTAAAAAAAAAAAAAAGTTCATAAAAAAGTCAATGTATCATGTAGACTGAGAAAAGTTATTAAAAAAGTTATTGCCAAGTATTTCAATTTATATAATCAATTTTTTAATTAATAATCAATTTTTTAATTTTACAAATAAAAAATTGATTATTCTGCAACCTGTAATTAATACAAAATATAAAATCTATTATGTTGAGTATAAGCTTGAATAAAGCTTAAAAAATAATATACTGAATAAAACTAAAAAGAGACATATAAAATTTCTCTTTAGGATTAAACATAAAATTGAAATCTGTTTTAGTTTGTACTTTGCAACTAAAAGAAGAATGGTTTGTTTCAAAATTATAATTGCACACACTTTTAGGTGGCGTTAAACCAAACTTTTTTAACAGCATCATTCAGTACATAAATTTTTTAACAGCATCATCCAGTACATAAATTTTTTACAAGTATAATTAAACTTTTTATACATAACAAAAATTTTTCAAACTTTTCTGATCATTCAAAATCTAACTAAAAAATCTAAACTAAAAAAAAGACAATAGTACTTTGTTTTGTTTTGGCATTTTTTGGCTTTTGGCTTCAAAAGATGTGTTTTCAAGATTAAGAGTTGAATAGTTTTGTGATCTCACTCTTTCTTTCTAATTTTAAAACTTTGTCAATATAACAGTTCATGTGTCATTAGACAAAGATTTAGAATCAGGTTTAACATATTAACCAGGAATTAAAGCCTTTTCGCATATATTAATAAAGGTACACGTAAAACAATTCTTCATATATATATATATATATATTATATATATATATATATATATATATATATATATATATATATATATATATATATATATATATATATATATATATATATATATATATATATATATATATATATATATATATATATATATACATATATATATATATATATATATATATATATATATATATCTATATATATATATATATATATATATATATATATATATATATATATATATATATATATATATATATATATATATATATATATATATATATATATATATATATATATATATATATACATATACTATATATATCTATATATATATATATATATATATATATATATATATATATATATATATATATATATATATATATATATATATTGATTTTACAGCTTATAAGTACATACATACCTTAATTAGAATTTTTAAGGCCGGTATAAAAATATAAAAAAGAGGGTGCTTACATCATTTACATTTTCCATCCAATGGTTTACATTGCATAAACTTTCTTCATTTGTGACACTGTAAACAATGATTGCTCCCTAAAATTAAATTAAGTCGCAAAAACTTATAAATCTTTATAGGCCTAAATAAATAATGGCCTGATTGTAAATTAAAATTAAATAAATACCCAAAAAAAATATTTAAATATCTTAAAGAATAAAAAATACCAGTTATTATGCAGAAACTAATATATATTTTATATACATTAACAAATGATTTTGTAAAATGCTAGAATCATGGTTAATGAAAAAGGTTTTAGAGCCCAGTGCAACAAATAAAATGGCTTCTCCAAAAATAAAGCCTGAAAAACAATTTAACTACTAAATAAGTTAATTTATATTAATTACATTTATTACTGCATTTTTTAAACCTTGTTTTTCAATGATCATGTTTTGTGGGTTTATGGCTTTCCATGATTAATTACTACAATTTTCAATCAAAATGATGGTATTGGCAATGTATGGTGTTCTAAAATTTGAATGCACAAAAAATCTGTTAATTGCCGCATAAAGTAGTATATATTTTAACTAGATACATGATACAATAGATAGAAATTATGTCGGACTCAATATTATTCACTCAGTGATTAAAGGCTGTAATTTTTACAATACAATTAACTATAAGAAGTGTTTAAGCACTTTATGCAAACAAATAAAACCATTTTTAAATTAATTACTAGATATACTAGTACTGAATTCTCTACTTTAAATCATATTCTATCATATTTCATTAGTGACCTCTCATAATAGCATTAGATTAGATTACCTCTTTTTATTTTTTTTATTTATTTACATTATTCTTTTTATGAGAAAAAGCATCTGGATTTATATAAAGAAGTAAAGTGAACAAGATAAATAAATAATTTATTAAAAGAACTAAAGTGAACAAGTACGATGCCAACTAGGGGATAATGGATTTGGCAATATAATTAAACTATTCTAAATCTGAACCCATTTTTCACCCAACAGACCAATAAATTGTAGTATTATTTATTTCACAAAGTTAAATATGTGAAATAAATAACATGCAATTTTTCATAATAAAACCTATATTACTTTTAATTTTTATTTTAACCTATATTACTTATAATTTTTATTACATTTTCTATAAAATCGTTTTAAGAAGCATAAGCTATGCAATCATTTAAGCTACTTCTAAAAGTGGTTTCCAACAGTCTACACACACTAAAAGCTCTTTCGCTCACATATGATGGTGGCTGATTAGTTTTTAAACACTAGAGGCCTCTAAATTAGAAATGTGTTTGTTTGTTATACTAAATAATTAAAATTAAAATTCTTTATTTATTTCATTAAGTTACTCCTTGCTTAAGCTCATTAAGTTTTGTTTGAGCTCAGCTAAAATTCAATTGTTCTAAATATATAAATAACTTGACTAAGGGGTTGTCCAAAAATT